GAGAGAGAGAGAGAAACATCAATGATGATGAAAGATAATCATTGGTCAGCTGCCTCCTGTATGATTGCCCCCTACTGGGGTCCTAGCCCTCAACCCGGGCATGTGCCCTTGACCGGAATCAAACCTGGGACCCTTCTGTCCACAGGCCAACGCTCTATCCACTGAGCAAAACCGGCTAGGATGTGGATTTTTTTTAAATGTATTTTTATTGATTTCAGAGAGGAAGGGAGAAGGAGAGATGGAAACATCAATGATGAGAGACAATCATTGATCTACCTCCTGAATGCCCTACACTGGGAATCGAGCCAGCAACCCAGGAATATGCCCTGACTGGGAATTGAACTGTGACCTGGTTCATAGGTCAATGCTCAACCACTGACCACACCGGCCAGGAGCAATGGGGATTTTTGATGAATGAGGACTGAAGATCATGATTGGCCAAGTGGCTGGCCCTGAATCTCTCCCATGGTTTCCCGGCCTCCACAGCTTCCAACACTCTCTGACCCCCAACAATTCCTCAGGCCCTAAGCAATTCAGGAACCTGAACTGGACTCAGCAACCCAGCTCATGAGGCTAATCCTGGGCTTAGGGAAAGTGAGGTTGTGGAAGGGAAGGTGTTGACCCAGAAGTGGCTTTGAAAGCCTTTGTGCTGGGATTAATTAGGGTCTATGAAGCTGGTGGCATTCAGCAGAGCACAGAAAGTTCTGTGGAGTGATGTTCTGGGGATGTTGGAGATATGGGGGAGGGGATGCCATTCCTCCCTCCCTCTCAGATCTACTTTCAGAAGTTGTGGTGAGAGCCCTGCCAGCTCAGGGGTTGAGCATTGACCTATGAACTAGGAAGTCACGGTTCAATTCCTGATCAGGGCATATGCCCGGGTTGTGGGGCATGCTGGAGGCAGCCAATCAATGATTCTCATCATTGATGTTCCTATCTTTCTCTCTCTCTGAAAGGGGGCAGAAATAGAATGTTGGGGAACCAGCTAGTATTGTAAGAAATATTAATCATGCTCTGTTAACCGTGATTGTTTTGTTCTGATTAAAGAAGGCACATTCTAACTTGGCTGACAGCTGCACTCAGGACCTGGGAGTTTCACCTGGAAATGCAGCCCGCCCTCCCCATTTGGAGCTGCCCCTTTGTTGCAGAAACCAGAACCAGAAATCAGAATCCCCAGCCCATTTTTGCATACCTGCAGGCCTTTGCAAATCTGGAGCCTGCTTATCTGTTAACTGCCCATTTGGCCTACCCTTTGGCTATTTCCCCATGTAACCCCAGCCCTTGCATATCACTAAGCCCTTTGAAGATCCCCTTCCCTTTGCATACCTGTAAACTGCCCATATGCCCTTTTGCCTACTTTCCTTTGTATTTCTACCTATATAAGGGCTGGCTTATGGTGGGCTGCAGAGCAGATTTTGAGGACAACCTGCTGCTCTCCCATAATGTCATCAATATTGGAATAAATGCTCATATATGATTCAACCCTGTCTGTGCTTAATTGGCTTGAGTAGTGACAGGCAGCATAAACCCATTGTTTGTCTAGTTAAATCTTCTTCTCCCTTCCTCTCTGAAAAAAAAAAAAAAAAAAGTTGTGGTGAGAGAACAGGTCTTTAAGACAGACCCAGGTTACAGGAATCCCCAACTCCATCCCACCAAAGGCTTTCAAGAACTCCATATTCATTAGTGTATGTGGGAAGGTGGGGGTGTTCACAGTTGCTGGCAGGCTGAGCTGGGGATTGCCTTACAGAAGTCCTCAGGCCCTGGAGGACATATGGACAGAAGCTAATTCTATCTCCCAGATCTCCATGGCCCAGTGGCATTCAGGAATTTAAGGAGTCTTGCTTCCGCATCTCTGGCTGGCAGCTAGACAAGTCAGCCCCTGATAATTTTGTAGTCCACCTGCCAGCAGGAAGGAGGCACTGTCCAGAGAGCAGAGCAGGCAAGCGGTGGGTGGGGTGGAAGTCCTGCCATGAGGCTGGCAGCCTCTGGGGTGGTCTGGGTCTGCCAAGGCAGGAGTCAGCTTACCTTTCTGCTCTTCACCAGCTCCAGGTCAGAGAGTAGGTGGCTTTCTCTGAAGAATTCCAATGGCCTCCTTCCTTCCACCTCCTAAGTCTTCATATTAACCCTTTATATATCCCCGGCCTCTCACTGTGGAGATGACAAAACCCTGGGTCTTGGGCAAGTAGCCTAAGAAGCAGAATGACAGTATAGGCCCTGGAGTCCTAGTTCACAGCCCTGTGTTTCCTATTGTAGCAGGAGGCCAGGGACTGCCTGTCTTTGTAGCCTGGAGCAAGTTGCTTCTCCAATGGCCCTGGTTTACCTTCTAAACAATTGTTTTCTAATGGACTACTCAGCTCTGACATGTTAGACTCCTAGGTGAAGGGACCTCCTCCTTTCTACCACCATTCCTAATCCAAGGAGGGGATAATGAGTATATTGCCACTTCCCTGGAGTACTCAGGAAATTCTCCTTCACCTCTGACTTCTCTCCACCCACCCCCATACACATAACATGGAGAAAGCTGGCAAAGAGAAAGTCGGTTGAATAGAATTATAGATTTGGAACTATAAGGAAATTTGGAAACTCTCTACACACACACACTATTTATTAAAATTATTTTTTAAAGTTGTTTATTGCTTTGAGAGAGAGAAACATTGATTTGTTGTTCCATTTATTTATGTATTATTCATTGGTTGATTTTTGTATGTGCCCTGACTGGGGATAAAACCCAGAATCCTGGTGTATGTGGATGATGCTCTAATCATCTGAGCTACCCAGTCAGGGCTAAAATTATTATTATGTTATTTATTTATTTATTTATTTATTTATTTATTTATTTATATTCCTTATTAATCCTCACCCAAGGATATTTTCCTTTGATTTTTAGAGAGAGTCAAGGAGAGAGAGAGAAACATCGATGTGAGAGAGACACATTGATTGGTTGCCTCCCACATACACCCTGACAGGGTCAGGGGATTGAACCTGCAACCCAGGTATGTGCCCTGGAATCAAACCTGTAACCCTTGGGTGTGTGGGCCAGTGCTCTAACTGTTGAGCCATATTGGCCAGGGCCTAAAATTATTTTTAATTGAGATGAAATACACATCAAATTTACCATTTTAAAGTACATAATTCAGTGGCATTTCATTCATTCATGATGCTGTATAAGCACCACTTCTATCTAGTTCCAAAATATTTTCAGCCCAAAAGAAAGCCCTGAGCCCATTAGGCAGTCAGTCCCATTCTCTCCTCCCCAGCACCTGGCAGCTGTCAGTTTACCTTCTGTCTCTATGGATTTGCCTATTCTACATATTTCATATAAATGGAATCATACAACAGGCCGCCTTTTCTGGCTTCTTTCATGCAGCATGTTTTCAGGGTTCATTTACACTGTGGCATGGATCAGTACTTCATTCCTTTTTAAAAAAAATTTATTGATTGATTTTAGAGAAACAGGAAGAGAGAGAGAGAGAGAGATTGATTTGCTGTTCCACTTATTTATGCATTCCTTGATTGATCCTTATATGTGTACTGACTAGGGATTGAACCTGCAACCTTGGTGTATCAGGACAGTGTTCTAACCAACTGAGCTACCAGGCCAGGGGTAGTACTTCATTCTTTCTTATGGATGAGTAATATTCCATCCATTTTTTCTTTTATTCTAGGAATAATGGTTATAGCTTTATTTATGGAGAATCTACAATGTGTCGGATACTTTGCAGGTATTTCACTTATGTAATTTTATTTATTCCACTGATTTATACCCTAGTCCCACCTAGGTGCACATGAAAAAAACTGAAAGCCTGAGGGGACAATGACCTTCCCAAAGGTCACATAGCTGGTTAGTGGTTGGTTAACCAGGGCTAGAACCCTGGTGGTGTTTTGATTCCCTGGTGCCCGATGGGCTTGAGAAAAGTGGAGACAAAGAAGCAACGGACAGAAGGCCAAGAGAAGACCAGTTGGGGAAGATCGCCAACCTGGAGTATGACAGGGACAAGAAGAGATGAGGTGACTCTTCAGCAGCCTCCCAGCTGCCTCCCCCCTGCCATCTCCACTAGGTCCCTTGCAGGTCCTCCCCCATCAACCTCCACCCAGCCTGGGTCAGCACCTTTCTGATGTGGTTTGCCTGCTTCCACTTTAGGCCAATTGTCCTTGGTACCCCATTGTAAAAGCTGAGGAATCTGGGGTCAACTGCAGCACACAGGCCCTAACATAATGCTCTGGGGAAACCACTCTGACCTTTGCCTTGTTCTATTCCTGTCCCTCTATGGAGGCCTGGTCAGCCTACCTCAGACTTGACTCTTCCATCCTCTAGCACCAGCCTAGGCCTGACCTCTGCTCCCCCAAACCCTGCATAGGACCTGCAACCCAGCAGAGTTACCTCCAGTCTTTTTCCAGACATCAAATGGTCCATGGAGGGGTGGAATTGAGGTTATTTTTGCCTAAAAAACTTCCTGTACTCTGATAATCCCAGTCTTGTTCTAGTGGGCTATAGGAGTGGAAGTAACTTTTTACCCACATTTCTTACAGTCTTCCCTCCTCCTCCCAACCCTACACACACACACACACACACACACACACACACACACACAGACACACACACACACCACACCGTCGTTTCCCCCACTTTTCATTCTGTCCCTGGGAATGGGAACCCCCCTCTGCTCTCCCTGCTCTCTTTGTCTTCCTCCCCCCCCCCCCCCCCCCACACACACACACACACACCAATCCTCCCACTTGCTATGAGAGAGTCCTCCAAGGAAGACGTAACAATTTAGCATTTCAGTAGAGTCTTGAGGAGCCTGGGCTACAAAGATGGGGAGGAGCTGGAGAGGCTCCATTCTACGAAGCCAGAGTCCTTGAGCCACCCAAAGGCTTCCTGCTTAAGGTACATTTGTTGAGAACACTGGAGCCTGGGGGTCTGTGTCCCCACCGTGGTCCTCACCCATCTGGAGGCTTTTCCAGGTGTGTTCAGGTCTTCTTTTTCTCTTTCTGGGTTGTGCCTTGGAGAGATGGTGGAGAGGCAAGGCAATGCGGTCCTTTATCAGGGTTTGGTAGTTCTTCACGAGGTCCTCTCTCAGGGGCGCACTTGGCAACAAGGCCAGCTTTAGCGCCTTCTCCTGGTAGTGAGGCAGAGGGTTTGGGCAGAGCCTTCTCCTGGCAGAATCACTGGGAAGTGGGGTGGGCAGAAGCTGGAAGCCGAGGGGTTCAAACCTTCCACCAGCTGAGATGTGTTGGTACCTGTTGAGGGGTGAGGGTGTGGAGAGAACAGGAAGTCAGAGAAGAGATCAGGCATGATGGAAGGGGTGAGAAGGCAAAGTACGATGCAGCCCTCCATAAGCTATGAGCAATCAGGCTATAGGGAATTCTTCTGTCTCTTTTCCTAATTGGAAATTGATCTATTCCAAATGTGCCTGTGTGTGTGTGTGTGTGTGTGTGTGTGTGTGTGTGTGTGTGTGTTTGGCATTAGCTGGAATGATTATATTTAGCTGGTCAATCTTTCAACATATTGTAGGATATTTCATTATCCAGATTCTGACTATTCCCCAATACAGCACATGCTTCTTCTCATCACTGGTTAATATGATGCTATCCAAGAGCCCTCCCTGCTCTCACCTGCCGCCTTCCAACACCTGGTCTGATGGCTCCCTCTTCTACAGGCCTGTAGTATTAGATTCAACAGTGAGAATTTGACTTTAAAAAAAATATTTTTATTAATTTCAGAGAGGAATGGAAAGGGAGAGAGAGATAGAAAAAAATCAATGATGAGAAAATCATTGATTGGCTGCCTCCTATATGCCCCCCACTGGGGATCGAGCCCACAACCTGGGCATGTGCCCTTGACCGTAGTCGAACCTGGGACCTTTCAGTCCTGAGGCCGATGCTCTATCCACTGAGCCAAACCAGCTAGGGCTGCCTTTTATAAAAATATATTTTTTTATTGATTTCAGAGAGGAAGGGAAGGAGGGAGGGAGAGAGAGAGGGGGTGGGGGTGGGGAACATCAATGATGAGAGAGAATTATTGATTGGCTGCCTCCTGCATACCCCACACTGGGGATCAAGCCTGCAACCCAGGCATGTGTCCCTAACTGGAATCAAACCTGGGACCCTTCAGTCCACAGGCTGACACTCTATCCACTGAGCCAACCTGGCTAGGGCAAGAATTTGACTTTTTAAAATCCATAGTTAAATGGTGGCAAATTTCCTGTGGCTCAACATGCTTTGCACCTGGTTCACAGATAGCCCTGTTTGCTCTCTTCCATGTACAGCAGAAGTTCTCAGGCCTTGCTGCACAACAGAATCATCCTCAGGAGCTTAATGCCATGCCAGGCTGCCCCCAGGCCAAGTAAGTTAGACTCTTCTGGGTGGTGCTCAAACCTCAACAGTTTTCTACAGAGGCCCAGGTAATTCTGATGTTCTACCAGAGTTGAGAATGGCTGAGTTTATATATAAATGTTCTATTTCCCAGCAAGATCATGAGGATCTTCAGGCTCAGACCTTGTCCAAAATCTCTGGGTCTTTCATGCTCAGAATGTGCTTTCTCATGGATCTAGAGTAATTCTAACAATTTATTTTAACCCCTTACAGAGCTGTTTAAAAGGAACCACAGAACATCTGGCACTATAATTTGACTGAGTTTTTTGAGGAGTGAGCTAAGTCTCCTTCACCTTTGTATGCCTAGTATTGGCACATTTTAACCATCAATAATCTTCATTGCAGCCAGCCGATGTCGCTCAGTGGTTGGGTGTCAACCTATGAACCAGGAGGTCACAGTTCAATTCCACCACCACCCTCTCCACCCCCAGTCAGGCCTGCAGCTTGATCCACAGTGTGGGGCATGCGGGAGGCAGCCAATCAATGATTCTCTCTCATCATTGATGTTTCTATCTCTTTCCCTTTCCCCTCCTCTCTGAATTCAATTAAAAATAATAATAATAGCCCTGGCTGGTTTGGCTCAGTGGGTAGAGCGTCAGCCTGGGGACTGAAAGGTCCCGGGTTCAATTTCGGTCAAGGGCACATGCCCGGGTTTCGGGCTCGATCCCCAGTCGGGGGCATGCAGGAGGCAGCCAATCAATGATTCTCTCTCATCATTGATGTTTCTAT